CACATTGTACACATTTAATAAACGTGCACAATATTCATTGTTTGAAGACACTAGAAAAAGTTCCATCTGACTTTGGAACCAAAAATATATATTTTTTTTAATTGATTTTAGAGAGGGAAGGAGAGGGAGAGAGAGAGAGAGAGAGAGAAACATTGATGTGAGAGGGCTCCATCGATCGGTTGCCTCCTGTACACACCCTGACCAGGGATCAAACCCACAACCTGGGTAAGTGCCCTGACTGGGGATTGAACCCATGACCTTCTGGTGCACCAGACAATGTTCCAACCAACTGAGCCACCCCCGCCAGGGCAGGAACCAAGAATATTTATATTTCACATTAGCAGTGGTTTTTTTTTTTGTTTTTATTGCCTAGACATTGTGGACTAGAATGTCCTGGCTACTATAGAGTTCTGAGAGTGAATCTGTGGCCCCCCTTTGGGAATGGGAATAATCTTTACTGGAAGCCTTTTTAGCTTCATCCCTGGTGCCATTTCATCACCCCCCCCCCCTTGGTTTTATATCCCGTTCCTGTTTCTCTCTAAATGATCTATCTTATATTGTTGATGGGGTTTTTTAATCCTCCCCTGAGGATATGTTTTTATTGATTTAGAGAGAGAGGAAGAGACAGAGAGAGAGAGAAACATGACGTGAGAGAGCAGTTGCCCCCTGTACACGCCCCGACCAAGGATCCAGCCCACAACCTAGGTATTTGCCCCGACTGTGAATCGAACCCACAACCTTTTCGGTATGGAGGATGACACTCCAACCACCCGAGCCACGGGCCAGGGCATGTTTGTTTTCAATGCCTACACCTAGCACATTGGGGACAGTAGTGATTGGATTTTATTAAACGTCTAACCCCTCTCTAAAATAAGACACTCCCCTTTTATGAAAGAACAAGCCCTTCCCCTCAGGTGAGCCTGAGAATTGATAGCTCCTTCCTACCGTCATTAGAAAAAGGAAGCTGACCAGTGAGGTCATTCAGCCAAACACCCCTCTGCCCTGCCCCATGCCTCCCCACATCTTTTCTTTTCAGGTGAAGGCCTGTCACTTTAGGCTTCACACAAGCCCAAAAAGCATGTGTAAGCAAAGCCCGAGAGGTAGTTGCTCAAAACTTCTATCATGAGAATAAAAATAACTACTGGTATAAAAGATTCTAGAAGTGAGCCAGAGAAAAAAAAATATTCATTGACTTTCCAAACTGGGAGAAGATGTAATTGCTGGACCTTTTTTGCCATGTCAGGAGAAGGCGACAGGAGCCAGGTGGCCTCAGCCAGGTCGTGTCCTGGGGCCAGCTCTGGTTTTCAATACTAAAGAGCATTTAAGGGATTTGAGAAAGCAGAAATGTTTATTAACAAAATTCAGGATGAAGAAGAGAAATGTGGTCTAAATCTTCTGCCGAACGGCTGTCCCAGAGATTTGCTAGCTTCACATATTCACATGTGAAGGCCAGAAAAAAATGCCCTATAGCCAGGGGAAAAGTATGAACATATTTTCATTTGTATTTATGTGTCTTGTGTATATAAAATTATTATTCACATGTTGCTTAGTGTTATATATCATGCAGAGTCTAAAAGTTAAATCTTTCCTATCCCATACCTCCCACTAAAAATCTAAAATGATCTAAAAATGCCAAGATTTTTTTTTCTGTCTACATTTTTCCAGCCAAGTGTAGATCACTTTGTAAAGTTTCCATTTGTTTAAATGCATTCTATGAAGTCTAAACCAATTACATCAAATTGTCCTTCAAACATATGATGAAATCATAAGATCACTAAGTCTTCACCACAAATTCATACCAGCCTCAGAAACATACACATGGCTCTAGTTTGAGCCACAGAAACAGAAACCTAGAATTCAAATATATGATTCAGCATAATGTCAAACTCCTCAGACACAAAAGCAAAGAATATGAGACCAGAGCCACCCAACAGGACTGTTTCTGTAAAAACCATGTAACTAGGAGTTTTGCCCTCCTTAGAGTGTTCATAGTTTAATATGTGCACTTGGTTAAAGACTTGAGGAGATCATGCGGACAGCTGTGATATTCCAACAAGAAAATGCATTAAGGAAAATTTATTGACGCTTTTAATAGTCATCATTTTAACCTTCACACAAACCTTGCCAGGAAGGCTCTATTAAGCCCTGTATACAAAGAAGTTGATTCTAAGGAGCCAAGTAACTTGCTGGTAAAAACGCAGTACCCAGATCTCCAGAACGCAAGTCAGGGAGGGGTTCATTAGACTACATCGTATGTTCATCATCACAACAGAGAGCCTGTCAGTAAGAAAAGTAAAGGGCTGATTAACATAGGGTAGAGTTTTCAAGGATCAATAACAAACTTAGTGGGAGCCGGTTTCTGTGTGTGAAAAGGTAACAGGAGGCAAGGTTAGAAAAAGCTAAAAACCCACAGGCAAAGGGGTCTCCACCAGCAATGTGGGGTTGCACTTGTATGTGCCACTAGCCCTCAGGACCCAAGTCCAGTCATGTATGGAATATGCCTCATCTGGCCAGTCCAAATGTGCACATTTGAGACCCTGATGGTTTGAAACTAGAATAAGCAGCTTCTGTATTATGACCTTGCGAGATGATCTCAAAAGTAATTTATCTCTCATTCTATTTGGAAGAATTCTACCTAGTGTCAGAGTTATTGTCATTGGCTGACAAACGTTTCTTGAAAACTACTTAAAAGCCACATCAATTCACAATAGCATAAAAAAAGAAAAACTTCCCAGTGCCATTTTTATTGAGATGATTTCAATAGTTTATTACTCTTAGCCACCAAATCTACTAATATGAACTGTCTTGGCACAAAAATATACAGAAGCCCAATGCATTCGTAATCTAAATCAGCTCTGTTTGAATTCAACCACAAATCGCTTGGTTTTTCTTTTTAATACTTTGCTTCCAAACATATTTTTAAAATTTTTAAAGGCATGATCTGGGTAGCATTGAAGAAGGGGGGAAAAAATGTATCCGCTTACTGCCTTAAATCCCCCTGATCCAGTGCGCATCCAACCAGATAGGAAATTTGCTTCTTGGCAGTCACAGGCAAATGTTCGTACTAAGTTATAACTCACTGGGAAACTGCTTCCTTGGAGATACTTTCAGGTCTTTAATGTCGTGCTAGTGCCAGCTCTCTGCAGTACTCACATTCATTCTTAGCTTAGGTTAGATTTGAAGGTGTCAACCAGCTCTTGTTATGAAAACACTACTTTAAGCGTGGTTTATGATCAAAGCCAACAAGTTTACCCTCCATTCTTAACTAATCGAAGAATTTTCCTGCTGTGTTTGGTCGAATAATCCAATGATTACAGCACAGCAAACAAAGCAAGGTGCCATTGTAGCCACTAATAAAGTCAGGGGAAAGAGTGAGCCAAACATACTTCATCAGCAGAACTCACCCCATTTATTTTGTGGGTTCTTCCTGTGAAATCCACAAGTCTAAATTGATATACAGTCCCAGGATCCTATCCCCAAGCTCCTACCAGTGTACTTTAATGCTCTCCAGCACCCACCTCATCTGTGTGTCTGCGCAGTCATGTGAATTGTGCACTGCACAACACTAGGAGTGTCAGCCACATTGCAAAAGTCATAGATGTGATTATTTATAATAACAACTAATAATTGGTAATAGCAGTAAAATGTGTGAGGTTGTTTGTTGTTTTTTCATAAAATCAGTATCATGACCGTTTTTCAATAGAAAAATAACAGTTTGGAAGAGAGGGCATAGTTTTCTAAATCACAGTAAACACTATAGATTAGCAGTGATTGTCTCACAAACCAATTTAATTCAGATACACCAGTTAAATTAATTATTTGATAATATATATAACAAGAGACAGGGATTTTTTTTTTTCCTATTGAGATACACCTCAGTTTACCATGAGAGGGGAAGGAGTTAACCAAGAATCCATACATCTCCCAGAAGAGTGAGTTAAATCACCTTTTCCCTAACTTTTTAATAAGTTACATTCACTTTTATGAATTTTGCCACCGCCCATTTACTGACCAAGGAAAGAGGGTTACAGAGATTTCATCTCCTCAGAGATGTTCAAAATATATCCAATATATAATAAGTTTTTTAAACTACAAAGTTTATTAATTCTATCTGTATTCAGAGAAAGAGAGCGAGGAGGAAAAAGGACAGGAAGAGGCAAGAGAGGGGAAAATATAAGAGGGCAGGGAAGGAAAAGAGATACAATGAAAGAAATCAAAGGATGTAAGTGTACAGAAAGGAAGAAAGGAGACATACTACAAGAAATATAGTAAGAAAAAGAGAAGTGGAAGATCAAAGGAAACATACTGTAAGTTCTCAGGTGGGTGCTGGTTGAAGAGTAAACTGATTTGGAACCTTTTTAATTTTTTCTAGTTTTACAGAAAATTTATTTTCTTATGCTAACTGGGCATGAAACATTCATCTTAGCTCTTTATTCAATATTCCTACACTTTCTGATATTCCTTGTCAGCAACTCACCAGGAGTATAACCGTTCCCTTCACTACAGTAGCCAGGTGACCAAGGTGACCTGGCTGAGTAAATTAAGCCAAGCCAAAAAGACAGGAGAAACTACTCTTCCTGAGAGAACTGGTAGCCTTTGGCGTTGCATGGACAGCTGTGGACAGACACGAGGCAGAAAGGCTGACATTCTGATTCCATGGGAAAGTGTGTTCAATAGGGAATAATTAAAGCCCACTATGCCAAGCTATGGCGAAAAGAATCCACTGATGTCATCCCATTTTAATCAATATTTAGGCTTATATGGGTGAGCTATCAAAGTGCATCTTGGTCAGATGGATAGTGAAAACATTGTTTTAATCAATGTGTGAGTTCTTAGGGTTTCTGGAGGCACTAGTTGGAACATGAAAAGAATAGCCATCATGGTTATTTCACAGATCATGAAGTTGACCTCAATACCCCATCCCCCCCCCCACACCACCACCACCACCACCAGACATGCACACAGTATCTTCTGGTGACAATGTTTCTCATTTTCCACAGTGCTCCTATATACCTAAGTGTGGAAAAAATTTTGAAGAATCCATGTCCCTGGTGAATGTCGTCATGGAAAACTTCAGGAAGTACCAACACTTTTCCTGCTATTCTGACCCAGAAGGAAACCAGAAGAGCGTCATCCTAACCAAACTCTACAGTTCCAACGTGCTGTTCCATTCACTCTTCTGGCCCACGTGTATGATGGCTGGGGGCGTGGTGATCGTCGCCATGGTGAAGCTCACACAGTACCTCTCCCTGCTCTGTGACAGGATCCAACGGATCAATAGATAAAAGCAAAGTGGATGAGATCATTTTCTTTAAAGCTCAAATACTGTTTTCTTTCATTCCTCACCAAAGAACCTTAAGTTTGTAATGTGCAGTCTATTATGAGTTCCTTAATATATTCTTATACATAGAGCAATAATGCAAAAGCTGTTCTATATGCAAACATGATGTCTTTATTATTCAGGAGAAGAAATACTGTCTTGTGTTGGTTGGTTGTTTTCATAATCTTCTTTCAATGCTGGAACTAGTGCTTCCTTTTCTCATTCCGCCAAAATAGGGCTCAGTTATTCATTTGCCAGGGTTTGTGGAGGAATGTAGACAATATCAATGTGATAAGGTCTGTGTTGAACACATTTCTGCAATATTTTTCATCATTCATTGTTTACTAAAGCTGCAGCCAAAAATTTGTTTTTCTTTTCTTACTCTAAAGTGAACCCCATAGCAAGTGAAGGGACCAGATTTCCTAACTGAAAGTTGTTAATTCATTTGTCTTGTGTTTCTACCATATCACTGTAACGAAGGGGGGAAACCCAGCCAGCAATTTTCCTTTTATTACTTTCTATTCATAACTTTAGATTTTTTAACTGATTTCCAAAACAACAAAAAGAAAGCTGTTTTCATTAACCAATTCTATAATCTTTTCCTGGGATTTAAATAAAAAAATGAACAGAGTCCTTTTCCATGTAAGACCCTGCTACTGTGTGAGGGGATGACGCTTACAAGGAGTTTCATCACCTGGGAACCGACTGTGGAGTAGATGCTCTACTGCAATCCAGGAAAGTCTGTTACTAAGATATTTGTGTGAAAATCTTTATTCAATTTCAACTGAACTGTTAGACGGTAAAATTAAGATCCTACTTGCTGGTCAAGACTAGTGGACTTATTTCAATGGGTAGATCTATTGTGGCAAATGAACATGCTGGAATATTGCTCTTTGGGAATTTATGTTTAATTAATGAGTGTGTAGTCTCTCTCTTTCTAACATGTGTTCCCTATTGGGATTTTAAAGCTGTGTGCACAGAATATTTGTCTCCTCTACATGTTTTATTTTTCTATTTACAATTGCCTTTTTTGTTGCTAGATTTTATACACAGAATAGACCTTTTTTCCTAACACACACTTGAACTGAATAACCTTTGTTGAACTGAAGAAAGCCTTTGTTCACATTGCCATTCACTTATTGTGGTTGGGGGGGGAAGGGGGGTGAGGGATTGGTTTTAAACAAAAACATTCCATCTTTTATTTAACATCAATATCAAAAGGAGAAAACAAACATCTATCTTTCTCATCTATATTTAAATACCTTTTTGTAATGTAGTTTTCTAGGTATTGCAAAATTTTACAAATCGTATCTGTGAAATGAATGGTGAAACTAATCTGATGAAGTGAAAGTATTCTGCAATATTGTAATTCATAGTTTGACTTTTCATAAGCAAATAAATCCCTAAGGTATAATCAGGACTTCAAATGTGTAATTAAAATTTAGAGGGGAAAAAAACCATGGCATCAGCAAGATTTGAATACCTCTTGCATTCTAAGCTGACAAGACATGGAAGTCTAAAAACCTATGATTCACTCTGTTCAAAGATATTTAAAGAGATTATAAAAAAAGTTCCTTTTGTGACACCCAATGTTACGAATATTTGGAAAATATGATGGAAAACTCAAATCCTACTTCACCCTAAAAACATAATTCTGAAGACAAAAGAGAAATCTTTGTAACTATGGAGCCAAAATTTGTAATCTTAAATGTTCCTTGGGCCTCCCCTCAAGTGACCAAAGTGTGGAAAATATGCAAGTGAATTTTTAGTTGAGTTCTTTTCATTTTCCTCTGTATTTTAAATTAAAAATTCCCAAATGTGATAAGAATGTAGACATCTCAAAATAAGGACACCAAAAAGAAGTTAACTAGTGCCTTCTGAAATTCCAATAAAGCAACCTCCCCTTCAAGGAGTTTAAATGTGCACACAATTAAGTGCTCATTATTAAAGGAGGAAGCACTGGGACTAATAATGTCTTAAATGCTTTGCAAGTGTTAACTAATTTAATCTTCATAACAACCTTATTGGAGGGGCACTATTATCCCATCCCACACATGAGAATGTTGAGGCTCAGAGATGTTAAGTAACTTCCCCAAGGTTACACAGATACTAAGATGGTGGGAGATGAGAAAGTATGCAGCCTTTAGCTTTCCCATTGTGGTAACCATTTCCATGGCTCTAGGGTCTTTGAGATAACACTGAAGGTTACTGAGGTTTGGAAGGGATTACATGGGTGGAGATGAAAAAGCACTGGACTGAAAGTCAAAAGATTTCATTCAAGACGTGGTGACTAGGTGACTTCTAAGTTAGTGTATTGACTTCTTTGACTGTCAAATTAGGATGTCAGGCCAGCCAACCACTAAGACCCCTTTTAACATTACCATTTCATCCTGAGTACATGGAAGGAAGATGAATTCCATTCTCCAACCTCCATAGCACAGGCCTGAGTCTCAGATAGATTCTACACGTTAGTCCATGGATTAAAAATCAGCCTACCTATTGATAATCCCTATAAGTCACATACCTCTTATTTAGGGCCCAGTGCTTTATTTACACCTGCCAGAAGCAGAGCTCTGAGTCTCCACATAGTCACCAAGGATGATTTTGCCCACAGAACATCCATGCTTCTGATATTGGGCTAAGTGAGGGGTCCTCTTCCCACTGGGTGCTGCTGGGGGTGGACATCTTACAATACCTTGAGAAAGAGGACTTTCTGAGACTCGCACAGGGGAACAAGTGATTTTTATTTGCATGGAATTAAATTCCTGTTTTTAAAGTCCTATTTCCCTTAGTTCAGTCATAGGAGAAGTGTAGTTGGGGTTTCAGTAAAGCTAGAAGCAAAGCCAGTATCCAGAGTTTTCTTTCCATGTTGGAGACAAGTCCAGTGCAGTATCAGGCTAGTTGCAGCCCATTAGTCCACTGGGGGGGGAAGAGTCCATATGGCCGTGGCCACACAGGAGAATGCCAGGAAGCCAAGTGTGAGCCATGAGTCATGTGTACCAAGTGGGACCAAGAGCTCAAGAGAGAGAGCTTCTTTGTTCAGGGAATTAACTATCCAAATTTCTGTATATTTGCAGTGGCCACGCCCATTCCGGCCAACCATCTCTGTCCCCAGCTGTGATTGACAGGCAAGTATCTTTCCTAGGTCATCCCAACTTTACTGGGCCTGTGTCTATCTTTCCTTTTTTGGACCCCTGGGGAGTATAAAGTTGTAGCTTCCTGGTGAAGCTGTCTAAATGGCATGTCTATAACATTTCACCTTCCCTTTGCTCCTTCCCTGTTATTAACAACTAGCTAATTAAAATGGTATCACTTCCAAATCACTTTCATTATCCAATTGGCACATCTTATCTAAAACTTAATTGATTTCAGATTCCCTGTGTTGCAATTATATTAAAGCCCATAAAATGGTAAATACACCAATGACTGCTTGCAAATAACTATAACAAAATACATGATTCTGTAGAAAGCCACTGGAGAAACACTGACTGATCATAATGATGGGTGTAGGCAATCACAAAATATCTCCTATATAGACCACATGACATTTAGGATTCCAGAATGTCACTCTTCTCTTATTGCTGTAAGTGACCAAAAAGTGATTATGCATGGCACTTATATAACAAATAGTGGTTTCAATATATCAAGCCATAAACATCTTACCATATTCCAGTGGGTGAAACATCTTGACACTGTAATCATTCCATGGACATTAACAGAGAGATCTGTAGGACAGAAACACAATATGAGCAATTGAGTCAAATGAAATAAAACAATAATTTTAAAGGAATGATTTGTTATTCACAGATATAATTAAATTTCCTCCCCTCCCCGACCCAAGCATTGCCATGAACAACATTCAAGAAAGTAAGGTCATTCTCATTGTCTTGGTGGAAAGTGGAAGTGATTAAACATTGTTCCTTCTCGTCTCAACTTCTACTTTTCCCCCCTCCCCTTGTTAAGCAATTCAGTAAGAACAATCTCGTAGTTCTGCAGTAACCTTTCCAATGTATGTACCACATGAAAATTTTGACTCAAGGAACAAAGTTTCAGGATTCTCCTAAAAATTTGCCGAGATGATGTGTACAGAAGGACTGAGTAGGTAACTTTCAAGTTAATCTGTCCCAGCTTTCCATATTTGCATCAACTATAAGGAATAATACAAAGTATACAACACTGAGTTTGTAACTTATAAGAAAATTTGAGATGGTACACATGAAAAAAAAGAGAACAGTTAGGTCTCCATCCACATTGGTGGGGATACTATCTACAGAGGGTTATGAGGCTTAACTGGATGTATAGGTAACATGCCTAACACTATATATAGCATATAATATATGCTTACCAAATGGTACTTATTACTATTAATAGTAACATTAGTAGTAGTAGTATAACTACTAACAGTATATAGTCTCTTGGAGCTAGAACAGCTCTAAAATGTTGTTTTGCCCAAAACTCACACCAATGCATAAAATCCTTCTATAACATCCTTAAGAAGGATCATCTAGTGATAGGGACAGTTACTACTTGAATCCTCCCAGCTACAGGATAGGTGACCAGCTAGTTAATAAGAAAATGCTAGAAAGTTTTCCTGATTTCAATTTGCAATCTTCCTCCTTATAATATCTACCCACTAAATCCACACAAAATCAGATCAATACTTCTGTCACTAGCTTATTCTATTAGCGTTATTTTTTTTAATTGAATAGGGGTGGGGAAAGAGCAACTTCTCTTTGTTAATACTATAGAACATAGATAAAAACCATTAAGCCAGAATTATGACCAAAATGAAAATTTATAAAGGGAGCATAAATGGCACCAATTTAAAAAAAATAATATACCATTAAAACCTGAACATTCATGGATAAATTAAATTGATGAGCTAGCTAAACCCTCTGATGCCCAAGTGTGTTTAATCCTGCAAGACCTCTCAAGTGTGATTTGGCCTCTGAAAGGTAAGACTGTTGGAAATTCTACATTCTGTTCTTATTCAACTTCATGACAACCAGACTAAGTTGCCTGCTAAGTAGCCAGATTACTTAGAAGCACAGATGTCTCCCTAACAAATGTTGCCAGGGTGTGCCTTGGGTTCATCTTGGCTAGAGTACCATTCTCCCGTGCAATGCCAAGGAATTGGAAGGAAATGTCAACCTGTGAATTCCAGTAGTGGCTTTTATGTGTAAATGCTTCATTTATGTAGGGAGAGAATTTGTTCTCTCAGATCAATATGATCATTTCATTAGGGCTTCCAGAACTGTTCTTTAGCCAAGTTCTTCTAAAACAAAATTAATCCCCAAGCCCTTGCAAGTTGTATGATATCAGGCCACTGAGAAGGCTTCAAGGTCCTATACACAATCCCACCACCCATTAGCACTATTAGTAGTACCAGAAACTTCTGTAAGTACAACATCTCTTCATAAAATTCAACATCTATCTGTCTCTGTCTCTCTCTTTTTCTCTTCACACTGTTTTCTCATTCTTCATCTTTTTATTTTTAAATTTTATTTTTCTTTGAAATATTACAGATGTCCCTTTTTCTCCCCAGTGACCCATTCCACCCCATCCCATCCCCCTCTCCAGCCCCTCTCCCCACCATCGTCCGTGTCCTTGGGTTGTGCATATAGGCTCATTCTTCATCTTTACACAGCAGCAAAAATGATCGCCAGCAACTACATATTCACAAAATCCCTTCTTCTTATAACCACAAGAGGAGAAAAGCCCAGCATTCACATCAGTCCTCAAAAATGCCAGTCCTCTTGTCCACTGCAGGGCCCACCCCTATAACGGTGGCAATCAAATAAATCCCTAAATGAAAATGAGTGTGTATTAAAGACTAGAGGAAGGGGTGCTGGGCAAGCAAAACAACAAATGTCCACTCCAGGCAACTTGGACAAACTCACACCAAATTCTCCTGCCAACAGACTTGGGTTGAAGAATGAAATTGCCCCACGTATGGGAAGAAACACTAGCGTTACAGAGAGGGTAAAGGAGCACAAAGAACCGGTGTTCAGAATTTACTTTGCAGTTTTTCTATGACTCCCCCAGTTAACTCATGAGATTTAAAAGAAAAAAATGTTTCTGATTTTCACTCAATGAGAGATGCAAGAATACTTGGTTTCAGCAAGAGACAATAGGTTCCCTTAGCGACATCTGATATCACAATGAGAGAAAAGAGTTAATGAGAAACAGAAACTAGCTTAAAAGAAAGGAGAGGAGTGATAATACATGGGGAAAGGAGACTGGGAAATAGAAAATCTAACTTAAGCAACTATGGCTATTTATCAGATACTAAAGAATTTCCCTGTTTTTCTTAAGAGCCTTTTTCTTTGGGGTTGGTAAGTACCTATTTGAACTAGTACAGATTCAGTTGCCCCACTGACCATTTATTTTGGAGTAAATTCATTTAAGGGGCAT